GGGCCTTACAGATTTATAGAGGCCTAATAATTCTACAACACTATATGCTACCACCTATTCCCCCAGCCTGTGCCAATGGATGTGAAGGTAATGTATGAAAGGTGGACCACATGTTCCCCAATCTCATTGGCAAGCATATGAACCATCAAGAGAATGTCTATTGTAACTTGTGATTAGGAGGAGGTCAATGAATTTCTGAGGACCTGATCCTAATATTGCGACCTTCCCTCCAAAACATGAAGGAAGGATTGCCCAAGATTCTTCACACGTATACAAAAGTCACTGGGTCGTTAAGTAACCTAAGTAACCTGGCTTTAATAATACTGTGAAATGCTTACAAATATATAACATATGCAGGAAGTGAAATCAGGTACAAACAAATTATATTTCAAATCTTCCAAGGAAACTTACAAATGTATCTGAAGTAAATAAAAAGTGGTATCTGGTCATACCATGTGGTTATATTATCCCTACATTAACGTTCCTCAATATTAGTAGATACTAATTTTATTTTAACTCTAGAAATAAGTATGCACACTGCTAATTATTCCATAGTCTATACTGCAGAATCTGTTAACTTAGCCCCTCCTTCAATTCTGTATACTTCTCAGGACCTTTGTTATAGGATATCTGAGTGTAGAAGGGTGGGTGCTCAATACATAGATTCTGGCTGTGTAATACATAGACAGACAGACAGACACAGACAGACAGACAGAAACACAGATAGACAGAAACACAGACAGACAGACACAGCCAAACAGAAACACAGCCAGACAGAAAGACACAGACAGACAGAAACACAGACAGACAGACATATTTTTTATGTCATGTATTTAAGAGCATTTGAATTTATCACTTTCTAAAGCAATCCCTTCACACTTGTCATTTAAGAAAAAAAAACATGCACAATAAGCTGTATAATTTTAAAGTGAATAGGAAATACAAGCTCTAATTAAAAAGATCATGCTCAGAAGGTTAAATTATTTCCCTTTTCCACTTGTACTCATCATGAGGATAGACTTTAATTAACAAGTCTGTCCTATTAGCAGTGATGCTTGGTCTTCAGGCAGATCCACATCGAAATAGGTTTAAAATATTATTTTGTTCAATTTTTAGTGAAACCGTCCTATAGGGATTAGTCATTTGAAAAATAATTAATTCTGAATGTTTTTGCGAGCATCTGCCATTTTTGATTGAATATTTTTTAAAGTGAATGTCATAAACAAGAGTCGGGTCGTGTTTTCCAGTCTGTGGAAAATGAAAGATGAAGTTGCAGTTCAGTAGTTCAGTTTTTTTTTTTTTTTTAGTTTAACTATTAAACTGTTAGAATATTTTTCTTATTTTTCTACTCTTGATTGTACATTCTGTGTACACAGATTTTTTATATTTAAACATGTAATACTTAGAAATAAAAGTTTATTGGAACTCAATTGCAGATTTAGAAATAAAGATATTCTGTCACTTTAAGAATATTTAAAGTAGGTGTATTATTGCTTAGGTCTTGATATAACAGAATAACATTTAGTAGCATTTCAATCTCTAATATGCAGATCCTTATTGGATACTTAAACACTGTCCAATAGAATTATATGCAGAGTTTAAACAGGAAGTATATATGCAGGAGTTGTGCATGATATATCCATGTTGCAATTTAAATACAGGAATATATTGAAGCACGGTGAACTGACTTTTGTATTGACTGGTTTCTCCCTTTGAGAGGATTAAACTGAATGACTTGAACAATACAGCAATTCCAGTATAATAGAAGAACATAGCTTATTTGTGGAGGTTGGTGATTAGAGAGAGTCCTTTCCGTGTTAAAGAAGTCTGTAGTTCAGCCATCTCAGTTTGGAGTAAATAGATGGGAGTAGTCAAAGTCCGTTCCATGTCCAGGGACTAAAGAGTTCAGCAATGTTGGTTTTGGAGGTTCAGAGGTCCTGTCGGTTTATTTTATCATGTTTTATATAAATGTTTTATCTTCCCCTATTAATATGGCTGCCATATGATGATGTTTCTTTTTATACAACCATCCGATCTCCATCCCCATGTATATGCAGACTGCCACACCTTTCCCTCTCCAACGTGGCCGCAGCGACCGTTCATGCAGTCAGAACCCTCCCATCCCTTACCCAATCCCTCCTCCACACTCGGAACACTCCGAGCAGGTAGGGATTGCGGACAGCCCTCTCTCTTAGACGCCGGTGAGTGAGTTTTATTCACCGATGTCATGTAAATATACCCAGCTCTAGTGAGTGAGTTTTATTCACCGATGTCATGTAAATATACCCAGCTCTAGTGAGTGAGTTTTATTCACCGATGTCATGTAAATATACCCAGCTGGTCAATTCTAACTGGTAAGACTTTGTATGAAAAGGTGTCAGGAATTATGTTCAGATAGCAGGGTGAAATAAAAGTTACAAATTATTTTTACATTTCAAGGATCATTCTAACATTAGAAATACAAACATGGATTTTGTACGAGTTTTCCCGTGTCTCTAGATTTAAGGCTGAAATGAAGAAAAATACTCATCTTTCATGCCATGATGCTCGTCTCCCGGCGATCACCGCTCCTAAGGTCATGCTTACATTACAGAATTGTTGTGCTGAGCCAATGTTTCAAAAAGAAACATTTCCAACTTTTAAAAATTTTGGTTATATCAGACTAAATTGTGTCTGTTGTCATCTTACCACAACACTCCACTTGACGAATAGCCCACGAAATGGAAGAGAGACCTAATACTCAATTACAAATCTCGATCTAAGTTGTTACCTACATTAAAGGAACACTACAGTGTTGGGAATACAAACCATAAGGTTCCACCACCTATTAAGGTGTCCCACAGCATGAAGGTTTTACTAAGCTTTCTTCAATTTTACCTTGCAATGGAAAATTGCAATTTCTACAAACAGGGTTAAAAATAAAGGGTCACTGATGAAGATGAAGGGGTGTAGGTAACTTTAGTGGCTCTTTAAGACTTTCAGCTACTCCCATCTCAAAATGCCTTATTATAACCATTGCTTTAAAAAAAAATATTCTCTAACTATTCATAAAAAAAATAATTATTGCAATACCATATAAAGTACGTATCAACTATATCTACTACTTTAACGGAAGCTGTTTTCAACCATCTAGGCTAAATATGTGTATATTTCTTGGAAATATGTCTTAAACAAACAAAAATGCAGTATTTTTATTACTGTTCTTTAACATGTAGTTTTTTGTAATATTACTTAGCATTTTAATACATTGTTGCTTAGTTTAAAATCCATTGAAAGATTTATGTTCCAATTAGAGACGGGTCACTGGAAGTTCTGCCATTCACAAATGCATATACATACTCTTAATGGACTTAATACCGAATAAGGAAAAGCATAAAAGGACGGCATGAAATATTTATGTAACTATGAACATTTTCTTGTAATCTCTCACCGAGAAACCTCTGCCAACAGCAAAGAACAAGAGGTTAGTTTTGTTTCATCTCTGCAGGGTATAATACGTACACTGATGGTGTTTTTTTTTTTTTCTGTTGCCTGTATTCAACCCAGTGCAATGGTTTTATACAACTAACAGATTGGTATGTTTTAGATTTGCACACAGGATTCTTCTGTTAACAATCTGACCTTCTGGCAATAGTTGTAGAACAAGACTTCTAAATATCCAAAAGATATCCAAGGGATTTTCAATATTTTAATATATATGTTTTTTGGTTTTTTTTGCTCAGTATACATTGAGACATTTGCCTGGAGATAATATTTAGTTTGAAGGCATCCTGAAGACATAGGCTAAGAAAGATTCAAAAGTTTGGATTGTGAATAAGTTTTCTTGTGTTTGTTTTTTTTTGTTTTTTGAACCAGTTTCATCTGTACTGTTATCATTTGTTAAAGGAACACAATGTTTTTTGAGAAACTGCAATGTTTATACTGCAGGGTTAAAGGAACACTGTAGGGTCAGGAACACAAATCTGTATTCCTGACCCTACATTGTTTAATCTACCATTTAGGTGGCTTGCCCCCCCCTTATCCCCTTTGAAAAGGTGAAACCGCACCTTATTTCCAGCACCGCGCGGGTTCGTTGATGCTAGCCCGTCCCGATCCGCTTCATTGATGACATCATCAGAATTGCCGATTTTTTGCCAATATAATGCTTTCCCATTGGGAAAGCATTGGTTTGGCTGAAATCAGCAAGGAGGCAGGATGGGGGCTGGGTGTGTAGCACTGCCCCAGAAAGCACCTCCAGTGGTCATCTAAGGAGTGGCCACTTGGAGGTGTCCCTAGGGGGCAATGTAAACACTGCCTTTTCTATGAAAAGACAGTGCATGAAAATGCATGAAGAGAATGATTATACTCACCAGAACAACTACTTTAAGCTTTAGTTGATCTGTTGACTATAGTGTCTCTTTATGTCCACCTCTAATGGCTGTTACTTATCTGTCTGTGACCATGTATAAATTGGTTGCATGACGCAGAAGCCCTGTAGGAAAGCATTGATTCAATGCTTTCCTATGGGAACGTTTGAATGCAAGTGCAGGACTTGCTGTGCATGCACATTAGATCCCTCAAAGCTTCACTATGATGAACATTGGATTGAACATCAGTGGAGGAGGCCATACCTCGCAGGAGGCAGAGAGGTAAGCAGCGCCAAAAGAGCTTTAGTGTTGCAAACAGGTGAGTAAATCTTTAGAGTTTCTAATTTTTATGGCAAATGGGGGTCTGAATACATGCGAACATGTTCCTTTAATGACTGTAGCATTAGATATAAGGACTCCTCACATAACAACTCTAAAGTTCACAGGTGACTCATTGACCAGTCTCAGTCACTTCTTGGTTGAAATGAATTTCCGAGTAGACAATTTAATTCTCTGGAAAGAAAGAAAACTGCAAAATATATTAAAAGGTAATATTATTATTATTATTATTTAAATGCATATTTGAATGCATTATACAGATAATACATTGCCTACTTAAAACTTCACAGAGAGCTTAGCTTAAAGGGACACTGTAGTCACCAGAACAACTACAGCTTATTGTATTTGTTCTGGTGAGTAGAATCATTACCTTCATGCTTTTTGCTGTAAACACTGTCTTTTCAGAGAAAATGCAGTGTTTACATTACAGCCTAGTGATAACTTCACTGGCCACTCCTCAGATGGCTGTTAGAGATCCTTCCTGGGTCATGGCTGCCTAAAATGCATCCAAACATTCAGTGTCTCCACCCTCTGCTTGCAGACACCGAACTTTCCTCATAGAGATTCATTGATTCAATTCATCTCTATGAGGAGATGCTGATTGGCCAGGGCTGTGTTTGAATTGTGCTGGCTCTGCCCCTGATCTTCCTCTTTGTCAGTCTCAGCCAATCCTATGGGGAAGCATTGTGATTGGATCATGCTACCACTTCTGATGATGTCAGCAGGCAGTGGACAGGTCTAACCGAAACAGGGACAAGCAAGCAGCTGCAGACTTGAATACAAGTAAGATTTTACTATATTTAGGGAGCCATTAGGAGACCAAATGGGCTAGATGGCGGTTTTAACCCTTTAGGGTCAGGAATACATGTTTGTGTTCCTGACATTATAGTGCTCCTGTAACATTTATCTTTCATAAAGAGTTCCCCTCTCTAGTGAATAAACCTTCACAATATTATATTCCCATCCTTTCCAACTTCTGGGTGTTCCAAAACATTGTTCTTTCAGTACCAATATATATATATTATATATGCTACATTAGATTCATTTTAATGTTTCTCAAAAGTCAACTAGTTTGTATTTCTGGTAAATTTTTTGGGAATTTTCCACTGGATTGTTGTCTTCCATAACATCTAGTAGCTACATCCGTTTTTTTCACCTTTTTGATTGCAAGCAGACACACAGTTCTTAGCTATTCATCAACTATGTGAAACAAGATGAATAAGTGGTGTTCTTTGACAAAATAGCATCAGATGACACTCATTGGCATCTGATCTTATCCTATTAATCCCTTTCCAGCAATTGCTTATGGGAAATATAGTTTTACCCCCTGCAGCAGTTTCATTCTACTCAGAACTACATGTCTTTTAAAAGACTAGAGGTAACTAGTTGAAAACTTCAAGGCAGCTCTGACAAAAGAACAAATTGTTTTGGCTCCATCGAAACTCATTGTATTTCTCTCCAAACGTACTGCATTTTTTATAGCTGCAAATATATTCAGAGAAGAATGTTTTATGATTGCTCTATTTTATTGACATATATTTCTTTGATAACAGCAAAATCTACTGGGATTACATTTGTTAATAAGAGCACAAGCCTGTCAAAAATAACGGTTTATGGTGCATGAGACGGAGTCCCCACTGGTGCATTATGATAGGACATATGGTATCCTAACACTCTTATGGAATGTTTGCAATATTTAGTGACACAACATAATAATTTCTCTTATCCAGGGGGAAATGTTGCTGTACATTGGTATAGATAAAGTCATTTTTATATGCCCTATTTCTTAAATATTTCTGACCCAATGCAGCTGTCAAATTAACTTTAGTGCTGATATAACAACTGTTCTGTGAGTATTAAAAAAGTAAAGTTTTCAAAGTTCTATTAATTCTATAAGACTTATCATGCTAGTACCTAGGACATTTATTCAGTGTTACTCCATATGTAAAAATGTTGGTATATGGGAATCGATTCATTAATTGATGTGTTTGTATTGTTTTCTCTAAAATGTTAAGGTAGCATTTTAAAATGACAGTGATGTGAATGGAAACACAAGTATATAAATATTCGTGTATATTCAAACATTTGCTACGCATAATTAAATTAGCGATCCTATTTGTTTGTACATTAATGAATACTAGACCACAAAGACTTTTTAATATGTCAAAAACCATGTCTGAAATGAAAAAATATAAATAAAAAAGCAGGGACAATTAGTGCTCTCTGTATTAAACGATCACTGTACAAAAGGAAATCTGTATATTTTTGTACTCATCCTGGTACACAACTTTATATTAATTTAGCTTTATATCATTTATCCCCCAAAAAAGGAATGAGAAAAAAGGAAGATATCAAATGCTCCCAAAACACTTAGATTCCTCCAACATATGTATAGGTAAGAGAAACAGAGACTGCACATTATTTATGTTTGTCAGCCTGAATTGACACATTTTAGTCTCTGAAAGAGCGTTAAACAGTTAGTGTCTAATCTGCGCTTTAACCATTGAATGCTGAGTTAAAAATGTCCAACATTAGGTAGGATGCCATCTTGTGAGAGCAGAACTCAGATCTTGTGACCTGACATCTACATAGTTTCTTCAAAATGTAGCAACTTCAAATATGGGTATAGTTACTCTCGATTTATTTCAATGCACAACTTATCTCATTAAAAGCAAAAGGACGGGGTCAGTTTCAGTTTGGACGCTCAGATGTTTGTCTGTGACTGGTCATTTCTTTTAGTGCTATAGGCAAGAATAACAGAACATGGTCCAACAAGCCCTTTGCATGAGAAATCCTTTTTTATGTGTTTATGTTCCAACATCAAGCACAGCTGCGCTGGCCAGGAGCATTACTAGATTTGACAAATAGGAGTTTATTTGGAATGGACAACAGCTCAAAAATGCTTGTTCTTTGGAGGGTGCCCACTCAGGTCTCTTACAGTTTTTAGCTCATTTGTGTCATTACAGAGAGAACCTTTGCCAGTTACTTATCAAATGTGTTCCACCTACAAAAGCAGTCTGAATCCAAAATGCTGACAGATTCCGCAACCCCAGATTATTTTTTTGGTCTTCACTGAGCAAAGTAAGCAAAAGGTCCCTTTCAGAATAACCCTTTTGTATAAGGCGAGACACTAAGTCAAAGGCCTAAAGTATAATCCAGACATGGACCCCTTGTTCACTGTGCATAGTGGTATCAGCTACACCTCACTGACGACTGTATAAAGGCTGAAATGGTCATGTGAGGTAAATATATCTCTCGGGTAGAGGGAAATCTGCCAGAATTTCACATCTAAACTCCCCTTGTGGTGAGATCAGTCTGATATTTGACTTCTAAATATTATATTTTGCAGGAGATATATCAGCTTTAAACCTGCTTACGATTCTATACTATAAAAGGTGAAGGGGGAGGCGGCGCCACAGGTGAAAAAAGCAAAACCTGATTATAAACTATACACACACATATACAAGACACTATATAAGAGAAAATACATACAAGATAAAAAAACAAAAGAGTTTGAAATATGGATAATGAATAATAATCTGGAGTCCAAAGAGTAAGTCCAAAAGAGTCTATGCCTGATAAATACCACAAAAAAAGTCAATCACAATCTTGTCAGGGGAAGTATTCTTCAGTAACGTATAGACATAGGATATTCGTGAAATCCTTATGAAAAAATAAAACGACATCAAATGATGGTGCAGTATATCCCAACAGGTACTAAGTACTATTTTTAGAGGTCAATACGATCCTACTCACGTTTTCCAGAGCTATAAGATTAGCTCTGGAAAAATATTTTGTCTTCTCTATAGGGCCTGTGAGGGGGCCCTATTGTTCAGGTGTGCTGCCTTATATTTATCTCTGAAAGATCTAGTATATTAACAGCAGTAAGTTCCTGGGCAGCAGGACAGCAGCGAATCTCTAAGACACTGGAGCATGCTCAGTTCTTTTCCAGAGAAGGCATGCTGATTCTTGGAGGACTACGCTTGTTCAGTAACCGCAAACAAAAAGTGACATATTAAATTTAATCTATGCCAAATTTAAAGCCTCTGACAATGGGACGCTGGGTTTAAAAGTCTGACTGAAATCTGTAATAATTTTTCATTCTCTATCTGCCCTCTCAGTAGGTCAGGTTGTTATTTAAACATCTTAGCTGTAGGTATTATTCTGTAGTTTTTGTTTTGCTATTAATCTTTGTAATTTCTTCTGGATGTTTAAGGTTTTTTTCTCTGTATTCTGTCCAAGCTACCCAGTTCACCTCCTATGGCATTTTCTGCAAGGTCTAGTAATATATCATACTCTATAGGAGAAAGCTGAGTCAACATTGTTATTTATCCCCTTTTAGCTACATAAAAGAAAGAGTGCAATTAAAGCAATGGTGTACAGTTACCCACATCAGTTCATCTCACAGGTCATCTAGGAGGACCCAAAAAAATGTGAGGCTTGCAAAGAACCTGCACTACCAGAGAAAAGGCTGTGTGGCAAGTGTATATAGGAAGCTGCGGGTCTTTCTATCGCATCTCCTGATATACAGACTTTTATTAAACAGACTTTGCCTAAGGTCTTAAGAAGCTGTCATAAACTCATAAGAGACATAGATCTACCCACACTGAACAGCATGATATTTCCTCAGATAAAGCAGACAGAGCCGTTAATACATCATCATTAGAGAAGGAAGAAAGGCAGTTACGTAAGGACAGTGGCGTACATACCGAGGTCGCAGGGGTCGTGGCTGCGACCGGGCCCGGCCCACCATGGGGCCTGGCCGCCCTGCGACCCAGTATGTATACCACTGTGGCCAGCCTCTTCTCCTGGGGGGCCAGGAGCCGGCCACCTCAGGGCCCCCCGAGGCTGGCCCTGCTGTCACCTGGCGAGGGAGCAATCTGCCCTAAGTAAGGAGGTTGGGGGGATCACATTAAAAAAAAAACATGTGTGTGTTAGAGTGTGTGTGTGTTAGTGTGTGTGTGTGTTAGAGTGTGTGTGAGTGTGTTAGAGTGTGTGTATGTTAGTGTTAGAGTGTATGTGTGTGTTTGTGTGTGTGTGTTAGTGTTAGAGTGTATGTGTGTGTTTGTGTGTGTGTGTTAGTGTTAGAGTGTATTTGTGTGTTAGTGTGTGTGTGTTAGTTTTAGAGTGTATGTGTGTGTTAGTGTGTGTGTGTTAGTGCTAGAGTGTGTGTTAGTGTGTGTGTGTTAGTGTTAGAGTGTGTGTTAGTGTGTGTTAGTGTGTGTGTGTGTTAGTGTTAGTGTGTGTGTGCTACTGTGTGTGTTAGTGTTTGTGTGTTAGTGTTTGTGTGTTAGTGTGTGTGTATGTGTGTGTTACTATACCACTGTGGCCAGCCTCTTCTACTGGGGGGCCAGGAGCCGGCCACCTCAGGGCCCCCCGAGGCTGGCCCTGCTGTCACACGGCGAGCAGGCTGGCTGGCGGGGATTACATTTTTTTTAAAAACGTGTGTGTTAGAGTGTGTGTGTATTAGTGTGTGTGTGTGTGTTAGAGTGTGTGTGTGTTAGAGTGTGTGTGTGTTAGTGTTAGAGTGTATGTGTGTGTTTGTGTGTGTGTGTGTTAGTGTTAGAGTGTATGTGTGTGTGTTTGTGTGTGTTAGTGTTAGAGTGTATTTGTGTGTTAGTGTGTGTGTGTTAGTTTTAGAGTGTATGTGTGTGTTAGTGTGTGTGTTAGTGCTAGAGTGTGTGTGTTAGTGTGTGTGCTAGT